GTGTTAAGATGTCCGTTAATCTGAAAATGAATGTCTAAAACCATGGGAAGGAAAAGACAGAATTGCAGCTGAATATCATGAATGCAAAAACATTTACCACTGTGAATAGGACCATATTTCCCAATAGCAGATCCCCGTCCTCCCCTAATTCCCCCCTCCCTTTCCCCTCCTTCCTCAAACACATACGCATGCACTATGGGAGGAATGACAGCTGTTCTTCATGGAATGACAGCCCAGGGATATTGCATCCTCCCTTAAAAAAAACCAGGCAAGGTACAGAATAAGGTCAGTGAAGGGAGACAAAGGGGTCTCCCAGAGATGGCAAAGGGTAATTTATTGACAGATGAGATAGACGTTACTACAGAAAAATATTAAATGGATTCTTTTCCCCTGTCTTTGGAAGGGGAGAAACGTGGGAAGGGTTAGGAAGGACAGATGCCAGAAATAGAGACAAATTTCCCAGGAGATGAAGAAGAAATCCTGAAGGAAATTAGGATCACAGCACAGAAAAAAAAAATTTAAAAAAAAAATCAGAGCATTTAAAAAGCTATGAAATTCTTTCCTAGAATCCTGTATGGAAACAACAAAAAAGGGCAGCGGGGAAGGAACCCCACCACTGTTGGCGGCCTCGCTTCAAAGGCGCGCCGTGAGAGAAGGAAGTGCTGGTAAAACAGCTCCTGATTAAAAGCCAGTGTTTGAAAAGGGCTGTCGGGAAATTACAGAGCTGTGCATGCCCCCGACGTCAGCAGCGAGGAAGACTCTGGGAGCACTAATCAAAGGAAGGCTGAGGGAGCATATGGAGCATGGAGATTTTATTAAGGGCAGGACTGAGACAGGGTTCATATAATGGGAGCAGCCGAGATCAGGAGCTGGGAGGAAAGGAAAGGCCAGGTCTTCTGGTGCAATAAACTGGCATAGCGCTGTCAACTTTGACAGTGTGTCAGTTCTCGCTGCAAGGAAAGAGCCCGAGTGAGAGGCTTAAATAGTGGATGTTATGAATACAGTTTCCCTGGCCTACAGAACTTTCCCCAAAATAATTGCACAGAGGAGGGCAGGAGAAGCCAGTGTGCCAGCGCACTCTGGTCGGGGTTCTGTAACTCCACGTTACCCTCAGCCAAGTGCATGTTCCTACAGCTTGTAACGTTAGAAGGGTTCATGATTTTCATCTGTCAGGACCAGGCTGACAACAGAGGAGTCACCAAGGCAAATTTGCACAAAGATAAAAGCAGCAGAACAAAAGAAATTTGAAGGAGAACAGATTTAATTGACATTCCCAAGCAGGAACAGATTTAAGCCAAACAGTATTTTATTCTGCTCCTTCGTGCAAGGAACGTGGTTTTCACAGCGTGTAACTCAGTCCATATGACAGAATAAGGGAACAGGAAGACTCTTAGTGTGTCCACTGTAATGTGCCACATGCAATATCTTTATAATCCTGTCACTGCCTGCATAATTCTCGGCAAGACCTTTCCCTCAGAGCAGGTTCTTCTGCCCAGTAGCTAATCTCACCCAAAGCCACGCTAGCCCTCCCATTCCAGCAAGCACACTGATCTTACAAGATGGTCTCTTACCACGGGCAGGTGCAAGTCCAGCAGAAGCACAGGGCATTGCATCGCCCTGTGTTGACAGCTGCCTGCTTTCCAAACTGAGAGTCAGGTTAAAAAGCCACAGAATTAATACTAAACACAGATTTTAAATGATCCAGATGGGGAGCATTCATCCCATCCCCGTAACTGCCATGCTCACGGCTGAAGGGAATAATAGCCAGGCTACACTGGATTTGAAGCTTTGATACTCCAGAGGCATTTGCAATCTTTTGAGCCTTGGGAGAGGGAGTAGGACAAAGCAAAAAAAAAAAAAAGCCGTGGTTCTGCTGGGTTTTGCTGTTAAATGCTAAGGAAGTGCTAAATGCTAAAGCAGGCTCGTACTTCCAGTGGGTGATTTAGCCCAGCTCCCCGCTGGCCGGGAGGCTGCTGCGTGCTCGAGTGCAATCTGCCACACCGAGCCAGAACCAATCTGATTGTTTCTGAATCATTTCTCACACAGAAAAACATAAGTAAAGCTGCCGGTTTTGCCAGGAATGTACATCCCATCCATGTGATGGCCTGTATTTATGTCTGAAGCCACCTGTACCATCAGCGTGACCCAGATCCAAAAGATGACAGAAGCCCTACAAAATTCAGTGCAGCATATTTTAGGGACAGTCTGCAATTACACTGGATTATAATGGATAAACATGAAACTGCAATGAAGAATTTCTCCCCAGCCTATGCTGACAGACCTGAAGTTACCTTCGGTTCTTACACCAACCTTATCCACGGACAAGACAGAGCCCATAAGCAGCAGGTGACAAAAATCAGAGAGTGGCCTTTTTCAGCTCAGTAACTCAGTGTTCAGAAGACAGTGCTTTAACTCACAGAGGGAACCTGAATCTAAGTCCAAGGAAGTGTCAGGCTCTTTCCCTGTGCTGTTGATTATTCTGTTAAAGAGTCCCAAATCAACTATTTCCTTTTGAATTGGTTATTTGAGTATTCTTTGGGCCAGAAAGGCACGGCACACCTTTGCAGGTGAGCAGCCAGGAGCCATGACTCGGGAGGGGAAAAGCCTGCCCCGATGAACACTTAACTCTTTCACATTGCACACTCTCTGGAAAAAGGCCTGAAAGGTATGTCTGCCCCTCACAGGCAAACGCCTTAATCACCAGTTTAGAGAGTCGTGCCTGTGCTCTCTGGAGGCCAGTGAATGTTTAATTGTGCCACAGAGAGCTGAGTGATTGCTCATGGAGAACGACTTTGTTAGCAAGATGAATTTAGCCCTATATTTTGAAATTTTCCGCAGACTTCTGCTGCTACAGTACCCACGTACGATGCTGGGCTCGGTTTCTGGGTCTCAAACACACTGACAGATGCAAACTCTTTCTCCCAGCCTGGGTCTGTTTCATTCATTTAACTTGCAAGTCTTTTAGGGTGAGAACATCCAGAATTGTGCTGCAAGCAGGACACACTGCAGTGGGGTCCTGATGCTGGGTAAGGCCTCTGGATATTAATGGAATAATAGTAAACAACTATATCCTTAGCTATCACTGAGCCCAAAAGGATGCTGAGAACTAATAGGTCACGAAGGGGAAATATCTGAAAGTGTGGAGTGAGCATGGATATAAGATGAAAAAGATTCTCACTGCAAAGGGCAGGAAAAGCACAGCATCTCCCTGCATCTCCCTGCTCTTCCGTAGCTCTGCGACAGGCAGAGGTAGCCATGCTGCTTGTGAAGAAGGTTTGTGGTCTTAAAGGTAAGCTACAGCACCAGTTTAAAATGCCAGTTCTCTGTGTGGCACGGGAACTGTAGCAATTCTTGGGGAAAAGGGGAAAAATGAGCTGAAGGTAAATTTCTCTTCTTGTTTTCCCCACGCATAAAGTGGAGGTTATGCTCCCTATTAGCTTCAGCAAGCAACACTGAAATTCTTTGGCGTCTTAAGATAGAACGTGCCTATTTCTGAAATTCAACATTTGTACTTTTTCTTAAATTGGACAAATCTCTTTTAAAACACGAAACTGACTTGTCAGAAAGATTTCTGATGGTCTCTGCCTTTTCCTTAGTGCTTTTGCAGTGAATAGCTACGATTTTTTTTTTTTTGCAAAATACAGGCTATTTCACTGAAAATTTCGAGGAGAAAAATCATTTCTACTTAGCAGGAGCATTAAAGCCCTTGAACTGGGCCACATTCTGCTGCCAATGCAGTTTTGGGGACACTTGGAAAATATTTTGAACAGCAGGGAGGAACAGCGATTACCCCCTCAGTCTCTCAATGATGTGAATATTGTGGGTTATTTTCCCTTTTACTGTTTATGGCCTATTTACAGTATAATCACACCTAATCAGGTTATAACATGGCTTTCTTTTTTAGTTTCAGCGAAAACAGAATTCAGCATAATTTTTTTTTTTATTTACTGTAGCTCCCCCTAAAAGCTAAGGAATTTTCAGGCACTAAGCAAGTATGATCTGTTCTCCAAGGCATTCATAACTGAAGGAGAGACAAGGAGAAAGATGACTGGGAAAAATAATAGGCAAGTTATTTACATTTTCTACACGCTTGCAATAGCTATATTGTTGTAAACATGGCCAAAAAAATGGAATTATAAAGTGGACTTAATTGTGGACAGAAGAGAGATTTGCCACATAGATGAGGTATTATTTTAGTGTGTAACCATCATCAGACAAAGCTGTAGACACATGTACAAGGTCAGTTCAGTGAAATAATATTCTTTTCACCCCACACATATGAGGCAGTGGCACTGTGTAATTGGATTAGAGGAAAACAGTTGTCATAGAATCATAGAACGGTTTGAGTTGAAAAGGACCATAAACACCATCTAGTTTCAAACCCCCCGCCGTGGGCAGGGACACCTTCCACTAGACCACGTTGCTCAGAGCCCCATCCAGCCTGACCTTGAACACTGCCAGTGGTGGGGAATCCACAACCCCTCTGGGCAACCTGTTCCAGGGCCTCACCACCCTCATAGCAAAGAATTCCTTCCTAATACCTGAAGTAAATCTACCCTCTTTCATTTTAAAATGGTTACCCCAACTTCTATCACTGCATTCGCTGATAAATAGTAACACCTTTTTTATTATTGTTATTTTTTTTTTATTTTTGTTTGCCTGAGACCCTGGCCTTTCTGTGACTGTTCACTCAACTCCTGCTTAGGTTTTGGCTAACCCAGCTCATGCTGAGGCCTGATGTGTGCTGGGAGCAGTGTCATCAGGTCAAAGCCAGAGCACCAGGTAGGCAGGAGAGGTGGCCAGGAAGAGCTAAAGGGCCTTTATGCAGCCATGGTCACCTGCAAAGTGCTGCCTCCTGCAGCTCTCACCTTTTGTCTGGTGGTTCCCTGTAAAACTGAGACATCCAAACAGACTGTGACATTTTATTGGTGTCACAAGTGGGATCTCCCCTGGACATGCTCTGCTGGCAAGCACAAGGTGCTTTGCTGTGCCTGCCAAAGCAGCTGGTCCGGTGTGAGTGTAAAGACACTTTCTCTGTGGGTCTGTTTGTCTTTGCCACGAAAAACCAGACACTGAGTGGCAACAACTGGGAGAAGACTTTGAGAAAGAGGAGTGGCAAAATCCCAAGCGGGATTTGTCCTGCGGTCAAGAGCCACTGCACGGATGCTGATGGTATTCGGTAGGAGTTTGCCAGATGGCAGTTTTCTTGTAAGGTAAAGAAGGGAGAAGGGGAAAGTGCAACGTGCTGGCTACTAGGCAGTTGTCAGAGGGCAGCAGTGGATGTGACTGATGAGTTGAAAGGGGAAAACATACAACTGAAAAGGGAAAACAAGAAAAGGAAAATGGAAAGAATACTTAGGAAGTGTAAGCAGTTAGAAATGCAAAACAGACCACCTGAGTCCAGCTTCAGCCCCAGACAATTGCTGAAGCTGAGGAGTGCAGGAGGAGGCTGTTGGAAGCTACTGCAGGAGACCCAGTTAAAGACTATTGTGCCAAGTGCAATGCTGACTGGGAGAGGGATATCTGGAAACAAGCAGATCTGCACCCCTCCCCTCAAAGCCAGGTGATGATGATTCCCTGCCCCCTGCTCTCAGCAGCACTAACCAAAACTGAACACAGCCCTCTCACAGGGGCACAAAACTCACCTCCCTCCACAGGAACCACAGCAGGGTTTACTGCCCTCGAATTCAGAGGTCTGGGGAAGAGATATCGAGCTAAACCAGGGAAAACACCTGTGAATGGGCTGCCATGGATTTGGATAGCCAGAGCCAATGAGCTTCACCTTGCCCCAGCTGAGGCTTGATCATTGGCATTAGGCCCAGGAATAATGTTGGATACCACGGGGCCAAATATTACCAGTCCCTCATGGGCTTGCACTTTGTGCACTGCCCATGGCAGGAAAAATGTGCGTTCCCAGGGCTTGGCAGCCAGTCTGCAGAGTGCCCTGCTGCAACCTGTGATTTCAGCTGAATTAGAAGGACCAGCACACCTTGCTCCAGGGGCTGGACAACCCCTTCCAGCAGAACTGCATCCTTGGGAGGTGATTTGGGAGCCTGTACACTTCTGACCCATGATAATGGGAGCTGAGGTGGTATAGAAGTCTTTAGTGTTAGCCATTAAGACAGGCTTAAATGGTATTAGTTTCCAAGAGGTCCTTCAGTGTGGGCTAGCAGATTTACCACTGTAAATCCCGGAGGATAAAAACCAAGGGATAACCTCAGCTAAAGTAAATGCAGAAGAGAAAAAGGGTAAGTTGAGGAACACCATCAGTTAGTACTGAGCGTAAAAGACGATGGAAAATGTGTTTAGAGAAGCAGCTGTCTCTGAGCTGCCAACTTCCCTGTTGTGGCAGCTGGACAGGTTTTCCTCATTTACTTCTCATGATAACCCTCTGGGACCTGTGTTTGGAGATGGGATGACACCGTATGGTTTGAAAGGATAATAACTAGAGAGGCAGAGCATGCAAGGGCTGCGAGCTCAGGGATATACCCAAACTATCATCACTAAACCTAGACTGCGGATGTGCAGGAAACCAGGGTGGGTGCTACTCCCACTGCTGAGGATCCTGGTCACAGTTAATGATCCATTCCTACTTTAGAACATTCCTCATTGACACGGGAGCCCGGATATCGATGGGAGGTAAGGACACTTAGAAAGGGCAGCAAGCAGTTAGTCTCTATTGCAGGAGTTAATGGGAAACCCACTAACCACCCACTGGTCAGGGCTAAACTAATTCTGTCTGAGGGACAGACAATCCACCTGACCTTACTTTTAAGTGCCCTTAATATATTGGGTATGGATGTATTGAAGGGTCAGTCGTGGGGAACATGGGAAATAGGGACATCACCCTTTCTGCCCCAGAGTTTACCTCCTACAAATGCATCTCTGACTGCTAATCTGTTGCAAACAGCTGCTCCTTTACCCCATAGCAAGATAGTTAATATTCCACAATACCCATTACCTTCTGGAGCAATTTGTCCTGTTACTGAATTGATAAAGGAGCTGGAAGAACAGCGAATCATTGTCACGTCTCATTTCCCCTACAATTCTCCTTTATGGCCAGTAAAAAAATCTAATGGCAAGTGGCAACTAACAGGAGATTACAGAGCCTTGAACACTGGCACTGAGCTGCTCACTGCAGCTGTTCTCAGTATAAATGATACAGTCATTTTTCTTAATGAACAGTCTCCTGTGCTCAGCCAACACCAGCAGGATGCTCTGAACACCTCAGTGTGGTATCCAGGAGATGGGGTGAGATTTCAACACCCATCACTTGGAAAACTCCGGATCACTTTGCCACACTTTTGAGGGAAAGGAATATGGGAAACTGTGGATACTGTGGAAGTGAAATTAATGATCATTGAGGCCTGGATATGATCAAACACCTAGCTCTTCTTTCCCTCTCCCTAGGAATTGTTGAGGTCCTGGATAAATAAAAGCTGCTGTTCAACCTGTGTATTACTGGAAGCATCCATCTACAAAGTACACTAACCATTCCCTGGAACTTTGTTAATGCTTTCAGCGGTAAAGGCACCAGAGAAAATGCTGACAATGTCTAAAAAGTCTCAGTGTGTCGGATAATTCTAACCCTCACCTTGGGGCATCTGGCACTGTGCCCCACAAATGCTGATGGCCTGTGCAATGACCAAACCAACCCACAAAAGCTGTAACCTCCACAAACACTTTTGGATACGCTCTGTGTTCAACTCAGGAGTATGAGCAGCCATCTCTGTAAGACCTGGACAGGGACCTAGACAGGAATATCGGACTTTGGGTTCCTAAACTCTTTTTGGGCAGCAGAAAAACAGCCTGATTTTCATCGGTGTTCAGTGTCTAGTAGGCCCAAATTACCTGTTCAGAAATGGGTAGTGAACTTCAGTGGAAGAAAAAGCTCCCTCAGTATATAATAGAATAGTTTTCTCAGGACTACTCTTATACTTCTACAGCTTTAAAAAAAATATAAGGGGAAGTATTGATGAACAGTATTTTCAACCCAAAGAGTTGACTTTCCTAGTGTGCTCCAGGCTGAAATCTCTGAAAAGCAAAAATGCTCACTTGCAAGCTATCTCCACAGCCCAGATCAGCAGGCAGCAATTAGTTTCCCAGGCATTCACTCTTCTTTCCATCTTCCTGATGGATATTTCATCTGAGTTTATGCTCTCCTCCCTCACCTTCTCTTCGGCCTCTCTGCCTCTCTTTCCAATAAGGCTGTGATCTGTCACAGACTCTCAGTGGACAAGACCTATACATCCCATCACTGTCACAGGCAGTTACATGAGACAGGCCAGGATGAAAAGCGGTTTGGAAGGGAGAGAAGCCGTGATGCTTCAGGGCATAGAGTTGAACTCTAACCAAGGAGAGAGATGAAGGAGGGCTTTGGGCCAGAAGGGGAGAAAATTTTACTCAGGGCAGGTTATTCCATAATTACCCACTTAAACTTCCTTTATACCTTCTGAGATGCATCTGGTTCTGGCCAACATCAGAGACAGAAGGGGTGGATCACTGGTCTGATCCAGGAGGGGAATGAGTTTCTTCATTCTTTTTGCCAGTGTGCTGAGTTTATAACATTTTCTGAAACCACAATGAAATCCCTTTCCAAGCATGACCCTTGCTCTGCCAGTGATAGCCAAAACTCCTTCCCCTAGCCCCGTCCTTCACACTTCCACAAGCAATACAGAGAGAAGCCAGTACAAAGCCAGGTCAAGATGATAAGAACAAAGCCTTGAAGGCTGCTTTTAGATACGAGCTTTACATCGACAGAGGAGGAAATTTTCAAAGGGGTGAACTCTTTCTGTCTCTCTCTCAGGCAGGAGTCTCCTGGGAGAAGAAGAAAACAGCTTTCATTTTAGCGAGTCATGATATTTATGGCCCTTTTATGGGTTTTGTTTGAAAATATAAAAGTAGATGGACTTAAATCTGTTTCAAAAGGAAGGAGATGGGAAGGGGAGAGACAGAGCATATGAAGGGCACGTGGGCCTGAATCATCTGCCCACGTTCAAAAGAAAATCAAACACCTCCTTTGTTTTAATATGGACCTCTTCTGCTGGTCATGAGGATAATGTCTGACCTCTTCTTGCATAGACCCTTTTATCCCTAATGACGTACAAATTTTTTATGTACACTACCACCACCAACACTCACCTTGGGATGAAACATGACAACTATTAAATTATGCAACCGCAGCACCACGCAACAGTTCAGGTGTGATTGCTCCCAGGAAGCAAACTTTCAGATCACGTCTCCTGCAGAACTGAAAGCTTTATACTGTATTCCTGAGGGGCAACTGTCAGCTTCTGCTTGCTCATATACCAGTCTCATGTGGGCTTTTATCCATCCTATTTGTGGTGTCTGTTCAGCAACTGAGGTTGCACCCTTTTGAGGGCCTCCTGTTTTTCATATGTGGAATCTCCTCTGACCCTCTGCCTCTAGGCAATACTTTTGATGCAATTCACAGACTAAGGAGCACATGCCTCGCAAAATTATTGAGGGAGGGAAGTTTAAGTTGAAGAACTGGGGTTTGCATTTAGTTTTGACTGTAGTTAGGCCTGTGGTCATTTTTTATGCGCTTTGGGAATGAACCTTCATAGGTTATGACAGCTGCTGGGATATTTCTGTGAGCCAAATGTACAAAGCTCCCCATTAATTGGCAGTTTCATAAAGGCTATTGCAGTTTCATAAAGCTCTCCTCTCCAGCAAGGAGGGAGAAATGTTCTGCCAAACTAATGGATGGCTTTCAACTGGATCCAAGTTCAGTATGGAGTCATTGCAAAGATCAAATTGCTGGGATGGTCTGTGAAGACGGAACAGTCACACAATGGTTCATGCCAGCTGGTGGGCACTGCATCCTTCTTTAATATGGTGCCCTGCAATAATCAAATGGGGAAGTCACAAATAGGCAAATCTCTAAAATTAGGCATGTTCGTGGCAGGACGTGACCTGGAGCTGTACAGCTTTCTAGCCAGCTGCAAAAAGTTCTTGCCACCATGGTTATTTTCATGTATCACTCAGAAGTCCAAAAATACCCTTAAGACATTGGGCTGCAGGTCGATGCTGTTGGCAGTTGGGTGATGCTATAAAAATGACCAGCTCCTTTAAATGTTTCTGTCTTCTAATTAGTATCACCTATGTCTTGGTTCAGTTTTATGCCCACAGAAATGCCCTTCTGACTGGAGTCATCCTTCCTTTCATGGTTACTTGTGCAGAGTCCTTGGTAAGTTTGAATCAGTTTTAAGATTTATTGATCTGGCCTTGTCCATTCTGTGGTGTGTTCTTTGATTTAATTTAATGACCATAAAGCATTCAGGCATGTTGGCATGAAGGGTGCACTGGAAAAAAATAAGAGATTGATTGATTGATTGATTGATTGATTATGTAGAGACATTGTTCTCTTCCTAGTTAAAAATGAAGCTAGTTTTCCATTACACTCATTTGTGTCTTCCAGGGAATACATATCTTAATTAAAAGAAAACCAGTCTGCCTGCAGGTATGAATCAAGATATGGAAGCTCTTCTGTAAGGATCAAGTTTGTCTGTTTTAAAGATACATGCAAATAAAAATGAAATGCAATCCAGAGGGGAAGGTTCAAAGCACAGACAGGATGTCCCTTCTCCTGCTCTCTAAGACAGTTTTCACATCGCCACACCTGGATAGTCCTGGAAAGAACTGAATTCATGTTGTTGCCTGCTTTTATAAGTCACAAGCAATGTTTTTCCTTTATGTCTGTTTATGTGTGTGTGTCTGTGTGTGCACCCTGTGGCAGGGGAACAGCAGCCACAGGAACACACCAAGCTCAGAAGCCACTGAGAGGTTGTAATGGAGATGGATAGATAGATAGATAGATAGATAGATAGATAGATAGATAGATAGATAGATAGATAGATAGATAGATGGAAGCAACATGAAATCGCCTCCTGAATATATTGAAATGTAACAAAGAACAAAAAAAAAGATAAGATTCTTCAATGCTTTCATGTCCAAAAGATTTCTGTTCCTAGGGATAGCCAAAAAGATACAGGTGATTGTTCAAGTAGCTTCTGCTGGTATTGGCAATTCACAACCTAAGTACATGTACTTTGAATCTTTCTCAATTTTTTACATGAAGAACAACGTAACAAATATTTTTGGCATTTAAATTACTACTCCTGGGCAAATAAGTCAGCACCTTGCTGAGATGACTGGGGCAATTCACACACCTTTTAGAGCTACGCTCCCACCTCTCCAGAGAACTGTTTATTTGTTACACATAGTTCCCATTTTGGAAGTTTTCTTCACAATTAGAACAGAGAGAGATTTGACCCACTTTCATTTTTCTAAATGACAAGTGAAATTCCAGAGAATAGGTAGGTAGCAGTCAAAGATATTTTGCTGGAGCACATGAGCACGCAGTGTCTGTTTCCAAGCCCTCAACTACACTAATCACATGCTTTCAGTATCTCTGTTGGATTGTCTATAAATTTAGGGAGGTCACGGATATTGTGTTTTCACATTATAATGTCTATATTGAATGTACCCCAGCTAAACCCTTTAAGGCAATGCAACATAAGCAGCCCCAAATAAAACCTTTTGTCTCACCATTCACCCGGCTCTCCACCACAGCTAACGTGTACCCATTTCTCAGGGAGCTGTAAGGGAAGGAAATGGTGCTAAACTCCTTTTCAAATTATCCAGTCTAAGCTGGTGCTGCACGCAATAAATCACGATTCCCTGAAATTCCTGGATGGGGGAAATGGGCCATGGCCTCACACCTCTCAGTATCAGGACGCAGGATGCGGCTGTTACAGGAGGAATAACGTGTTTCTGGCACATTTCCGCTTCCTGCCAAACTTGCTCCTGCTACACTGAAGTCCCAATCCAGCACAGATGTCATTTTATCATCTGTGTCCCACTAATGTCTCTCACCCTTGCCATTTCTCCCAATCCTCTTCGCATTTCTCACAGACCTGTGAGAAATCTTTAAATCTCCAACCTTCCCACAGAGATTGCCTCATAACCTTTCCCTGGATTTTTATACATCTAAACAAATTAATATTTTGCTTTAGCCTTTCTGGCTTACATCTTCCTGTCTCCATCCAGTGTGGGTCCCCTTCTCAATTTGCCTATTGTCTTCAGATCTCTTTCTGAACATTTGTCTCCTTGCTCTCCAGCTTTCATCACTTTCTTATTTCTTACTTCAAGCAGACCAGCATCAAATGGGTTTCTCTCTCATCTATCCCTCCTTAACTTCTTTGCTTCCCATGTCCTCTGAGTTTCTACATCACTCAAAGGACATTAAGGAAACACAGTAGTGGAAATAAGAGGGTGGCTGTGGGAAAACGCAGAAGGACTTAATGAGACTGAGAGACTGAGCACTAAGATGACAGATGGAATTCAGGGCTAATAAATGTAAAGCATTACATGTAAGAAAACCTGACACAAAAAATGATGATCTTGGAGCTGACCATTGCCATCCAACAATAAGAATTTATGTATATAATAAATAGTTCTATGAAAATATCACTGTGGTGCCCAGCAACAGCCAAAGAAACATGCAAACTGTTAGGAGTTAATAGGGAAGGAACAGAGAACAGAAAAAAGAAGGTCATTATGCCCTAGGATTAATCCCTCCCACATCTGCACCCTGGATACTGTGTGAGGATTTGGTCCCTCATCTCAAGCATGACAAAGAAGAACTAGAAAGGGTTTGGAGAAGAATGGCCAGGATAATGAGAGACATGGAGCAACCCCTGTATGAGGAATGAGTAACTCTGGCTGAGAACCAGAGAGCTAAGGATGGGATTTAATGACAGAGAGGGGGTAAAATCTCATGGCACATGTAGATACTAAACAGATACTATATTGGCATTAAAGGCTAGTGGGCAGAGGGTTCAGAACAGAAAAAAAGGAGATGGCTTAGCATTCCATGTAGAGTAACTTGTGGGACTTCTTGAGACAGGAGATTACAGAGGTTACTGGGTACAAGGCTATTATGGCTATAACTCAAAAATTACTAGGCACCTCCATACAAGGAAAATCTATTAAGGGCTATTAAATACAAGAATATCACACCTGGCTTAGGAAGTCCTTGAGTTGCAAATTATTAGAAGCTGGAAGATCATGCTGGGGAAATATCACTTATATCACTGCTCTTATATTCTTCCCTAGGTATTCGCTGTTGTTCTCTGCCAGAGACAGGATATTGAGCCAGGTGGACCTCTGGTCTGACCCCATACAGCCTTTCTGATGTTCCCGTGTTTATATTCTTAACTGACCGTATGGATGCTCCTTGCACTTTCACGTTCCACTATACAATGCCAAAAAAACGCCCTCCTTCCTACAGCAGCAAATTGAGTCTGAGCAAAAATATCAGTCCCAGCGCATCTTTGCTGAAAAATCCCTCCTAGATGAATTTGGGTACTTATTTACTCTTTTAATCTAGTGTCAGACTGGTGTCATTGCTGAAAAACCATTCACTCTGCAGCTCTGGTCACCTGAAACAATCTGTGCAGACCTCTCCCCTTTCTGCAATTCCTTATCTCCTTCTAAATTCTCATCTTAAAACCTGACTTTCTAGCCTGCCTTCAACCTCTCCATTTCTGTCTCTCCTGGTTATTGGTCTTATGACTGAATGCTTTAATATTTTCACCATGCAAGGTCTTTATGTCAGTGTTTCATGTAATTTATACCTGTGAGCTGGAGCCTTTCCCATCTTGCTTTCAAGCACTGGCCGTATACTGCATGGAGTCCAAAATGATCCCCACCCCCTTATTGCTTTGGGGGTTTGGCTTTATTAACAAGGATATAAGCAATAAGAAAATAAAGTTCAGCTATTTCTAAGGCTTCTCCCTCATGACTGCTCAGCCAGCATCTTAGATGGCCTCTCCCCAGCAAACCATTTTTATCTCCCTTTTACACAAGTGAACTAATAAGCCACCTACCTCAATGAGTCAGCAGAACCCACTTAACCCTTTCTCACAAGGGTCAAAACTCGCTATCAGGACGGTGTGGCTCAGACTTGTTATAGAACCATATTCTGCCCCTCGGTCTTGAATAATTTATTTGTGCCGCAGACCTAGATTAGTGTTTAAATCAAAATGCTGCCCAAACAAAGGCCGTGCTGTACAGTGCAAAATGAAACCAATTACCACATCATCCACTGCTCCTCTTTTACAGCGCGAGATGCCCCCTACAGTACTGCAGAGGACAGGCTTGTCTGCTGGGAACAGCCAGGCACAGGAACAGGGAGAGGGATTTTTCAGAGGGAATCAGCCTTTGATAAAAAAGTAAATTCAGTGCCAGAAGGTACTGAAGGCACACTTCCACTTTGATCCGTTGAAATTTAAGACCTTTTCTAGACTGAAATGAAAGCAAGCTCCAAATACATCTATGCAGGGCTGTTTTCCACAGAGCAACTTTACCAGGGATGAAGAGGAAAGCGCCTATCCTAACACAAATTCCAGAAATTTAATATAAAATCTCAGAGTGTGGATCAAGGCCTGGAATTCCACTACTTTAAAAAATAACAACTCACAGAGGTATGCAGAAACAAGGGATGCACTGTATTATATATTATATTGTAGTAGAAGCGCATTATAAACCTCAGAGCATCTCTGCGTGCCTGAAACATTAACAAGACCATGCCTCTTATGCACTTCAAAATGTAATCTGAGTTTACTAAAAAAAAAAAAAAACAAAACCAAGAAAGCAACCCACACAACTAAGACTTGTTTTTTTCTCTTATTTTTCTACAACTGTTACTGTTCAATCACCTGATTCTGAGGCTCCATTTACCTGACAATAAGTAGCTATCATTTACCCCAGTCCTGGCTGTCAGAAAGAATCATCTTTATCTTCAGAGAAGCAGGGATAATGTCTAATCAGTGAGTTATAGTTGAGAGAAATGATTCTAAGTTTAGGAAGATTGCCAGCTGCATTTTGTTATCAGTAACCATTATTTAGATAGCGTTGCTGATGTACAGCAGCGTCACACAGACAGGGACAAAGAGCAGGCCCTTGCCCTGTGGAGCTTGCTGTCTGTATTACACAATTAAAATAGGGAGAGGGACTAGCATAATAGTAATAGTGAGCTCTAAGCATCACAGTGGGAGGGAGAGGAGATTACAAGAAAAAGAAAAACTTCCTGTGAGAGAGCACTACTGCATCATCCCTCCATTGTCGTTTTATATTCAGCTCTGCCAGAGGGCTTTGTTGTTTCAAAATACAGTCTGTACAGAGGAGGGAACAGATAATTCCAGAGTCAAAGTCAGTAGAAACTGGCCTATGTGTTTACAAGAGAGAGGTGGAGGACGTTGACTGGTGACAGAGAGTTGGGTGCTTTGGTGCGTCAAAGACACATTGTCACACAAGCCACACGGGATGTTGTGGCAGGTCTGGTGGATCACACAAGCTCACCAGGCTCTGCCGGGCATGGAAGGACCTCAGGCTCCTAACCTGGTGCACTCAGTTAACGTGGAGACTGTGCTTCCTCCTCTCCCTCTGAAAAGTGTACCCTGTGGCTCAGGATACACGTTAACTGAACGTGCCAGCCAGACCTACCATCTCTTAAATCGAGCTTCCAGCTACCACCTGCACAGACACACAGCTGGTGCATGCTGCCTTATACCCATCCTCCAGTTATATACAATTTTATTTCGAGGTCAGTTTGTGTACCGTTCTTCTCTTTTAAGGCAATCATGCTGAAAATTAATACATGACAATCTGACTACGAACACGAAAGCACGGACTTAGCTGAGCTGCATACATAAACCAAAGTGAAGTCAGTACTGAGAAACCCAGCCTAACCTAACACTAATCCTAGCCCCAACCCCATCTCTTTAACTACATCAAAACATGATTTTCAGATGGCTGTTAATATTGCTGCATTTGTCCTTTGTTGACCCAAAGTTATTAGCAGGAACCAACCATAATGGAGCAGAGATGACTCTATCTAATAGAAAATAGAAAAAATGGTACCACAGGAATACATTCATTACTGCATTGAACTTCTAAAAAGGAGGCATCTTCTTTTTCCTAGTATTTTACTTTGCTTCTGCTACTTAGCAAAGTAAAACAGAACATGTATTTCCCCGAACTGTCTTATTTCTGTAGACATTCATAAGGCTGGTGCAGAAAATGGAGCCTACCTGGTAATATCTTCTCAGTGGTATAAAGTAAAGCTGATTAAGAGAGAAACATTCTTCAAGTTCCTAGAAAAGGCTGTTGGCTTCTTCCACTTATGATCAAAAAGATCCGAGAAAAAAATATGTCCAGTTTTTAACAACACTAGGAAATTGAAATAACCAAAACGGGATGTGATTGGTCTTTTGACTTGAGGTGCCACCGTTACTTGCTTTTGCTGCTGAAACATTGTCTGGCTCCTAATGGCTTCTAACATTGTGTTCCTACCTACACTGATCATTTAATTCTAGCATCTTCTTTCTGACAAGCCACAAACACTTGCAGAACTTGACCTCTTCCCTTCATCGCTTTTGATTAAGAAGAGAACTATCTGCAGGAAATGCCCTACAAACCACAAAGGATTATCAAAAATATAATGATGAGTGAGTGATTCAGGGACTCTGGCTCTGCTTGTGCTCCTGTAGTCTGATCTTGGTCACTCTTCCCTTCTCCGCTGGAGCTTTGCTGTAGTTTCTTCCAGTCGGCTTCTCCAAGCAGCAATAATGGCATCATCATCCATCTCTTCTTCCTCCTCTTTACGCGTGCTTCGCCTGTACTGAGAGCGCTGTCTAGATGCAAACCTTTCTTCACTTTGCTCCACTTTTGCCTCCTTCTTTCCATCCTCTTCGGACTTCGAAAAGCTCTGGGTGAACTTTCTCTTTGCCCCAAATTCTGACACGTCTGACCTGGCCTCCTCTTCACACGCCTCCACGTGATGGGATCTGACTCGGCTCTGTGTAGACGGTTCAGGGGATTCAGAGTCAAAGGGCGGCTCAGGAGATCGGCTGAAAACGTGCAGCTCTGGGCTGTTTTCTCTGGAACTTGTCTCACTGACCCGCGACCTTGTGAACTTGTACATCTTTTTGTCCTCTTTCGCAGAAGCAGAGGAAAATCTTGACGTGGTTCTCAGTGAATCTCCTTTCGACTCGTAGGAAGAACAGCTGTCTACCTCTTCTCTTTGGGACCTGCAGAATCTGTAACTGGATGTCTCAGAATCCATCTGTCTAACTTTCGATGATCTGCTATATTTCTCTCTAGCTTTCTCAGTTTGTTCATAATAAGATGGTGGTTCTCTCTCTGCTTTCAGGCCATTGAGCCACTTGCTAATATCAGTCTCTATTTCTGACTCTGGTGCACCTGAGTTTGTAGGCTGACCGGACAGATCAAAGACTGTACCAGTTCTGTCAAAATCTGCTTCCAAGGGACGCCCATGGCTTTTTGTTGTACTTTCTATGCCATTTTCCCTTTCATTTTCCTCTCCTTTGGTCACCTTTTTCTTAAATAAAGTGCTGCGTTTATTGTCTCTGATCACCTTTTCAATTTGATAATCTGACATTTTTTCTCTCATTTCCATTTGCATCTCCTTCTCCTTCCTCCTGAGTTTCTTGAGGTCAACATCATCAGCAAAGAGGCTGTACAGTGGCTTGCTCGTTTGTGTTGTCTTCATGTTTGAAGCAGCCCCTTCTGTCCTTGCGCTCATGGAGGTGTTGCAGGACAGGACAGACTGAGACTCGGCCCGGCGCAGCTCCTGCTGGCGCAGCTGAGAGGCAGCCACAGATGAGCCGCTCTGAGCACTGAGCAGAGAAACCCTGTCATCATCTCCTCGCCTGCCCAGGTCTCCTGACAGGGAGGCCATCGCGGACGACGGACGGGACAGCATCAAGATCTCGTTTTGCTTCTGAGCGATGGTTTCGCTGACCACGTTAGCGATCCAGTTCTGAATGCTTGCCATGGATATGGTGTCACCCGGACCAACCGCGAGGTTGGGAAGGGGTACACTCGGCATCTGAGGCTGCATTGCTCCCGTGCTGCTCCTGGTCCGTGACAGAGATGAATGATTTGTCTGCATGCTCAGGGCAGAAGCTGCATCATCAGCACCATCTGCAGAAGCCGCCGAGGGCCAGAAAGCCGACAGGGGGATACTCCCACTCATCGTGCTGTCTGTCTCCCAGCTGCACATGGACTGGCTTTCCTCTAAAATTTTCTTTGAACGTTCGAGGAGCTCTACACGCCTCTGCCTCTTTTTAGCTGAAGCAGAATCCTCGGTTTTGGCAAATTCCACAAATTCCTCCTTGCTGCTTTCACTGCCCACCTTCTTCTGCCGCTTCATTTTCCAAGCCTGGTAAGCAGTCAGGTCAATATCTGACAAACTCTTCCCTTCTGCTCCCTCCTCACCTGCCTGGTTGCCATCTTCTGCTGGAGATGGTGCAGCTGATGATGATGGTTCTAAATCCTTCTTGTGAAAGCCAAACTGGATCCTCTTGACCTTCCACCTTTCTAGAGGAGTCAACTTGTCTTTGTTCTTTTGGCAGAAATTGTAGAAGGAGCTACTGTCTGAAAGCACGCTCTCCTCATCCACATCCCTCTCCTTTCTTCCCATTTCCCCACAATTTTTATTCTTGGAATGGTATCTCTGAGCAGCTTCCTCCTCTATCTCCAGAAGTCTCTGATTCCACATGTCCCAGGTGCTCTCAGAAGACACAGAGTCTGTGCGACTCCTCCTCATCCTGCTAAAGCTACTGGCTTCCAGGTGCTTTTTCAGGGTTCGGATCTCAAAACTGCTCACACTCTCAACATCACTGAATTCACCTGGTGGGTAAGGTCTTCCTCCCATGCTGGAATCACCATCCTCCTCCCTGGCTGCACCCTGCATTTGGTATTTCTCATTTCTGCGCTGCCAGTCATGGATCCTCTGTTCCACATCCTCATCAGATTGATCCTCTTCCCGATCCAGATGCTTTGGAGATGCTCTTCTTTCATGGTTAACTCCTGGTTCCTTTGCAGACAGGCCTTGTTTCTTCCTCCATTCCTCATACAACTGTTCCTCTTCCTCCTCGCTGATCAGGGTGGAGCGTTTGGAAACCCAGCTGGTTTTTGACACTGACGAAGAGCTCATAAAACTACCCAGCATGCTGCTCGTGTCCTCCTCTTCCACTGTGATGGAGTGGGCTCGGGCTCCCACGACGCTCTCTGCGTCCCCAGCTCCAGACAAACGGGAAGAAGTCCCTGCACGGGCCACAGGACTTTGACTAGGAGTCACTTCTTCGTCTCCAGAGTGCTCCAGCTCCCGCTCCTCCAGCAGCTGCTCGTTGAGCTCCCGCAGCTGTTTCAGGAAGCCGTCGTTGGGGTAAATGGCTCGTTTCTTCCTCAGAGTCATCAGAGCCTCCAGAATGGTCATGTGGTGGTAGATCATCAGGTAGGCAGCCACCAGCACGGCGGAGCGACTGATGCCCATCTCACTGCTGACCAGGACTCTGCCTACGGATGTCAAACAGGAAAGTGTTCAGCTATTTCCAGTCACAGATACGTGGTACATACGCTCTGATATGTAGCACAAAAGCATTCTCTGAATGGTGTTAAAAATTAGACAGATTATATGTTTTAGTGACTGAAACCAATACTAAATATTTCATAGCTGTACCTTAATAAAATATGAATAAAAAGAACATTAGTTTCAAAAGCTGTGGGCAGGCACATTTCAAAACAAGCTAAATATTTGTAGTTTTGCCTACACACTTCACTTACTCAAATAGTCAAAAAGCTTATAACAGCTATTAGAAAGACAGGCAATACAGTGTTCTTGACTTGCTGCCTGATATAGGGTCAGACATTAAAGCCTTCCAAGCTTGTTTCTCAATATGTAAAAAGGGAGATATTAGCATTAGCCTCCAGGAAGGTATTGGGAAGATAAGAGAATAATTTAGTTTTTCATAAGGCACATTATGGGGTTTAAATACAATTTTATATTAATTTGATTGGTTTTTTGCCAGAATCCAGATCAGTTTGGCAAGGTACCCTCAAATGGTTACATGTAGGAAGCCAAAGTCATAGTATATCTCAGAAGAGGAGAACCAAGCAACTGGCAGGAAAGAGCTGATTTTGACTCTGACAAACTGAAACAGCTGCTTCAAACCACAGGGACCCACTGTCCTGTAAAAGTAAGAGCAAGAATCAAAACTGAAGATCTGCTTTATTTCATGGCATTTGCTAACTCTTGCAGAAAACCACACTTTGACACCCAAAAACGTTAAAGTTACTTTTATAGCAAATTACAGCTAAAGAAAAGCTTGGAAATATGAAGAGTGTAAATGAGGCTTTGCCAACTTACAAATAACTGAAATTACTGTTTCTAAATGTGTGATAAACTCCAATCAAATTGTTTGCACTGAAACTTCACGGAGCCAGTTTAAACACCACCTTTCTGACTGCTGCTATGTTACCCCAAGTGTTTACCTAATGAACCTCTTCCTACAATCCTGAAATGTCTTTTACGCCTTTCTTAGCACCAAAAGTCTTGGTTGCCTTCCAAGTACTTTACCAGGCAGTAAAGCCAATCTAACAGTTCACCGACAGGGGGTGATCTCCTTCCTCTCTTTTTCCTTTCAAGGCTCCTCTGCCTCGGTGCACCCTTTCCCGTGTCGGTTCTGCTACTCTGCTACTGGCCCTTTAACGAGCCGGTTCAGATCACCAGCCCAGGGGAAAACCTTCTCTGCCCTGCTGGGCTGTCATTTTTGCTGGGTAGTGAGTTGAAGGGTCGATGAATGGCAGCAGCAGTAAGCACCTGGACTGTGCCAAGGGTAGTAATGGGAGTTGTGAGGAAGAACACAGACAGGTAGTGTCCCACCTCGTGGTGCTGAGCTGTTAAAACTGTCTCAGCTTTCCTTGCGTGCTAACAAAACTTGTCTTACTGTCACTTCTGCTGGGAGGTAATCTGTTGTCTCTCTACAGTAATTAAATTAATCGACTAAATATATAAATAAATATCAGTAATATCACTGATCATGGTGTTCATTTCCATATTGAACTGCATAAAGGTATTTCTAACTGTCCACTGAAGCTGCAGCAGAATGACCAGTGTGCACTGGAGGTCCACAGAATAACAGCTGCCCTGGAGTTGGAGTCCAGCAAATTAGACAGACATCCAAAGGTTCAGCTCAGCTGTTTGGATTGTTCTAGTAAATCAGCCTAGTTTCTGCATCATGGCAAAACTGAAGCTTGCAGTATTACATCAATATTAAAAAAATATGTATCAGAGCAGGACTTCTGCTCTTTGCTGTATTAGGGTTCTTTCAAAGCAGCTGAGGGAGGTGACTGGCAGCCACTTTGAGTCTGAAGCTGTTGGGCTCCCTCCCCTTACTAGTTTGCTCCCTCCTGTTTTGAATGAGGCACGGCAGGATGGGGAACAAGTGGTCACTGGTGCTGCATGCAGGGAATGAAGGCTCTGCCGTCTCTCTACCCCACTGCAAACATGGCATCAGCTGTTTATCAGAGTAACACTTCCACCCATAATTCCCAAGCATTTTGGAACCACTGCAACCTTTTCCCCTTACCCCTGTAAGTCAGCAGTGCTTCGTCAAGGAACTCCGCAGCCGGGCGGAAGTGTTTGGAGATATCCATATCTGGGAAATCATCCACCTCAATGCCCAGGTACTGGATATTGAGACCGTTGTAGAAGCTTGGTCCTGTGTAGACCCCTGTACCATGAGCTGCATTCAAGACGTGTGTGATGCCCAGTCTCTTCAAACGGCTTTTGTTCACTGCGACGCTTCTTCAAGAAAGAAAAAGAGATGTGAGGTACAGTGCTCCCTTGGTGGGTAGGAGAGGAGCTGCCTGCTACAAGGTCTACAGAACTCCCTGTCTGTGTTATTCATCCAACATGTGGCTCCACTCAGACCTTAATGTCCTGTGAGAGTCCTACAGGTATTTCTTTCCAGTACTCACTGGAAAAAGACAATGAGAAACCTGCATTCACCTGTAGAGCCACATGCTCCGTTTCCACTACAGCTTGATTTGAAACTCATGCTGCTATCCTGGGTTCAGGCTGTGTACTTATTTATCCACTTTTATCCCTCCATAACTGCTGCTTTACATTATATCCACTTCTAATTCTGTCTGGTCACTAACACAGGTGTCTCGGACAGCTGAACCATGGTACAGAAGTCCTAACCATCTCCACTTGACACGTGCTATGGCATTTCTTTTTTAACTCTCTTTGACATAATAAAGACTTCAGTTCCAATTTCAGGGCCAAATTCCAACCAGAACAGTGGAATTTGGGCTCATTTGCCTTTTCCTCTCCTAAACTGCTGAAGCATCAAAATAGCACAGGAAAGCTGCTGATTCTATTCCAGAAGTATTTACTTTTCAGTGCATAGAGATTTCTACGAGCGCAGTCTGAAAAACACTTTGGGGCTCTCTAGGGATGAAAGGTATTAGATACATGTAATACATGTTATGCCTTCGATGGTTCCATTTGACCCTTCACTGGGAATCTCACGCAACTCGATGGCAAAAGCCAACACTCACTTTTCTGCTATGAAGACATTAGGCCAGACTTCATCCACAGCATCCCTGGGGGTCTCCAGCCTGTCCTTCACGAGTGCCCTCTGCAAGTCCATCACACACGGCGTGTTAAACAAGCTGGTGTCATCAATCTTTTCCTTAACTCGGTTGTACAGGTCTTCCACCATCAGCTGCTGCGCAGACTCCAGCATCCTGGGACACACTGAATCTACCCTGACCTCCTTTGTCTTCAGTTCTGGAATAAACTGACATTGTAACTCAAAGCATGTAAAAACAACGCAAACATATGGCCTGTCATTAATTGTGTCTGGGACAGGCCTTCTGACTTACTTTTTCCCCCCCAGAACCATCACACTGTTCTGTCTGCAACGTGTGCAGCACCTGCTTATGGGAAGCGCACATGGCACTGCCCTCTCAGTCCAGAGACCCACACTGACCAAAGGCCTGGGAGTTAAGGGCACCCTTATCCCAGCCCCAGAAGAATGCAGCTGCTCTCTACGCCTCCCCGAAGAGGGGAAGTAGAGAGGGAGCTGCTGAGCTCTTCTTCCTGGTATCCAGTGATCAGACAGGTGGGAAGGGTTCAAAGCTGCACTGGGGAGGTTAAGATTGGACACTGGGACGCATTTCTTCACCGAGAGGGGGGTCAAACACTGGAACAGGCTTTCTAGAGAGATGGTTGATGTCCTAGCCCTGTCAGTGTTTAAGAGGAGTAAAACAATGCCCTTAATAACATGCTTTAACTTTTGGTTAGATAGCTGAACTCAGATGATCATTGTTTGTCCCTTACAACTGAAATACTCCTATTCTATTCTATTCTATTCTATTCTATTCTATTCTATTCTATTCTATTCTATTCTATTCTGTTCTAAATTCAGTTTGTTGCAGTGAGCAACCAGCACTCAAACTACATTCACCATTGTGGTACATAATTCTGCCACAGATTCATTCCACAACTTCAAAGGAAGTCACCAAACCTTTCTGTAAATTGTTATTTCTTTGTGATTTTCACCTCTGCCTCAGGTGGGGTTCTCTCATAAAGGTTTTTTTATCATTTTAGGATCTCTGGATGACAAAAGGCAAAACTAGTGCAACTCAGGTCTCTATTACTTACACAGCTCTCTCATCCTTGCTCCTCTTACCTTCACTGATTATTTGCTTGGCAGCCACAGCAGATGACAGATGGATTGGCTCCATGAAGATGCTCTCTGTATCAGTGTCTGATATCATGGAAAACCTGCCAACCAACCACACTGCCTATTAGGCATTGCCCTCCACTGGGATCCTACCGCCAGGACCCCCTTTGCACCCATTCCAGAGGGGAGCAGCAGGGAACTGGAGCACAGAGGATCTTTTAATTGCAGAAGGGAAGCCCCAGCTCTTCTCCCACCCCTCATTCCCACCCTGCTCTCCAGCATGGCACTACAGACTTTAAATATGCCCTTGGTATCCAGTGTTTGCAGGATGTAGACAGGTCTCATGGAGAGAAGCTTCATGGACTGGGAGTGCAAAACAATTGCTTGGAGAAGTGGAGAAGTTTTTCGGGTGGAGAAGATGAGCGTCTGGGTTGAGACTGGGAGGGGGATGGATCACAAGGAGCAGTCTCACAAGTAGCTCTCACTTAGACAGACAGATAAAAACATTGTCCTAACTAGAATTTATTGAACAATTCCAAACATCAGATTACATCAGGGTGTTGGGTTTTCTCTCTGCTGGCTAATCACCCACAAGCATCCTCTGAGTTACCACAAGCTGCAATGCAAGCACTGAGAGTGAAGCCCGTGACTCTCTCCCTCAGCACGTTGGTCACTTCATAGCATGAATCTGTGGTCAGTCTCTCCACTCACACAGTGTTTCACAGATTTCACAGAATATTCTGAGTTGGAAGGGACCCACAAGCATCATGGAGTCCCACTGTTAAGTAAATGACCTGTACAGGGATCAAACTTTGGTGTTATTAGCACCATGCTCTAACCAGCTCAGTCAATCTGTGTTGTCCAACTGCAGGTCAGAAACCATTATGACACCCACAAGCACCTTTGAAGGGAGTTCTTTGACACACAGTGTGATTAACATAAGTTTTTGTTAAGCAAAAAAGGGGCCACAATCTTGAAAACAACTATCTTTCCATTTGGGTCCACCTGTACAATCCAAGTACATCTTCCCTCATTTAGACCATCTTAACAAAATATTTTACAGAGCTTTTCCCCTGATCTACACCATCTACATTTCCTTCCAAATAGATGGTACAGGTCATTAGGACAAGTTTGCTGCCATCACAGAAGCTCTCTGGCCATGCAGACTTGCAGTACTTCCAACAGTGTTTGTTTTTGTTTAATTAAGGCAGGTGAGGAAGGGTGATTAATATGCAGTCAGGGTGCAGCAGTGTCTGGAGAGCTGAACTGCTTTCATGCTCCAGAACCAAAACAGAGGGCACAGCCATTGGAAACCACTTAACAGGCTCATCTAGGTCATTTAGTTGAGTTCCAGCACTTGTCAACCGTGACTGAAAGTAATCCTTTTCTAGTTCTTCAAAGGAGTTTATGAGATGAGCAAGGGGAGTCTCAGTCTCATTTACAGGAGCTGACACAAATTAGTAGCTATGCCCTGCCTTCAATTCCTTTTGCTGTAAAGGTTGCCTCCAAGCTCAATAAAACCATAACAAGTGGTAATAACCTGCCACCACAGCCTCAACAAATTTTACCTGTGGCTGCCCCGAGCATCTGTGAAACACAGGGGTGCAGCACAGCCCAATCCTGGAGGCTTCCAGGGCCTTGTTCTGGATGGGATAGATCTTATCAACTTCATCACTGCTTTTATCATTGACAGAGAGAAAAAGGGGAGAAAAAAAGGAACAGGGAAGGCAAGGCAAGGGGAATAAACCGGAGAGGTGCTTCTCTTCATTTTGAGTGAGTGATGAGCAGATGGAGAAGGATTTACCAAGTTGAATACATAATTTTTCTTTATGTTAGCTCAGTGATCTTCCTCATCAATTCTGAAATGCTTGCAGCTAAATGCAATAAGCACTCTGTCTTGATTTTTCTGCAGTGTCCCACAGTTAACAGGAAACATTTCATAATCTCCTACTTGTTCAGGGCCACTGGGGCAGGTTCTTTTCAAACTCAATCCCTTCCCCTTGCTTTCAGCTAAAGCATCTCAAAGGCTACAGCAAGCCCTGCAGAGCATTTTGCTTTAGGAAGAGTACAAAGGGATGTATTTTTCCTTGTATTAGGAGAAAACACATCTAATCATGCTTGTTTTGCTTGAGGTAACTCAATTTCTGCTTGTGCTGTGACAGCCTTCTGTTCAGTGCCTGAAGCCTGTAGCTAAAGTTGGCTCTGAACCAAACCCAAATCCAAAGACCCTTGGTCTTTCTGGAGCTGGGAAAGCCTAATATCGACATTAAAAAATCCACAAGTCCTTATAATGGACAGAAAGATTTGGGAAGAGTTGAAATTGTATCAGAAGTTTCAGCATGGGGATGGATATGACAGGGCGAGACAGGGAAGAGGGATGATACCACCCCACAGTAATGCAATTTGTCCCCCCTGTGTGCACATACTCTGCCAGTGGGATTAACTAGCACAGGAGCCCTGTCTCCCACGTGCTCCCGGGAGGCTGTGGCAGTGGTCTGTACTCACCGGCTGGGCGAGGGGCTGCGCAGGTAATGGGCCTGCACGGCCTTCACGTCCGGGCCCTCCTCCTCCTCCTCCTCCTCCGGCACCACCGGCTCGCCGTCCGAGTCCCTGCCGCTGGCCATGGCGGCTGCCAGAGGATCTGCTGCACGGGGAGCAGGGCAGGAGGGAGAACCATTACAGAGGCCATTCCCAGCTGTGGGGCAGCAGGGATGGGGGGTACAGCAGAAGGGGCTCCCTGTGAGGAGCCCTGGCCACGAGGCACCTACACTGGCTCCTCCACCAGGGTGCCTGCCATTCCCAGGGCCTCACGCAGCAACCTGGCTGCTGCCCAGCGAGCACCAGTGCCCTCCTTGCCTGTGAGTAAGGGTGCAGGAAGGCCAGGAAGGAAGGGGTGGAGGGGCAGAAACTCTATACCCCCCCTTGACCGCACGTGGTGGCTGGAAGGAGCTGTACAGAGCCAGAGCAGGGCTGGAAGGAGTGTCAGGGGCAAAGAAACATGAGACCTCCCCAAAACGAAACGCTCCTCAAGCTTAAGGCCGAAGGTGCTTTCAGGCTTGGGACTTTGTCCTTCACTCCTTTGTGTGGAGGCTGCCGCGCTCACCCTGGGTGTGGGAGAGCGACGGGGATGTAGTTCAGGCAGGAGTGTGAAAACGCCGCAGCTGACACCTCCCCGTGTCCAGACACACGGACTGTCACCCCACTGTGCCACAACAGCCGGTGGCAGCTCCACAGGGCCCCAGCACCAGCCTCGGGAAGGAGGATCACAGCCCTGTGCCACCAGCGGGGCTGAGGAGCGGCTGCCACCCACGGGGCAGGGGAGCAAGGAAAGGGAACTTACCCCCTGTGCCTGGACGACTCCACTGGGGGTCCCTGCTGGAGGCACGGCAAAAGAGTCCACTGAAGACAGCAGGGAATGGCACTGGGAAGAAAGCAATCAGCTGCCCCCTCTTGCTCTCTCTGCAGCTTCTTCATCGAGGGGCAGGACAACTGTTGGCACCAAACCTTTATCAGCTCTCTAAATATAGCTGTCCTGACACTGGCTGCTGCATTGCACGGAGAAGGAATTCAGTGCCTCACAGACAGCAGCTGGTCAAGCACTTAACTCCTTCCCCGCTGTGGGCTGATCCTCTGACATTTCCAAGCAGCAGGAAAGAGCCCAGAGCCAGTGAGGCTGGACCTCTGCCTGCAGGGAGCCTCCAGGCAAGTGGGATCCTGCCAGGCACAAACCGAAATCCCGGTATGACCTCTGATGTCCTTGGGGATCGCAGTGCAGGACGAGCCATTTGAACTTTACCAGAAGCAAGCTACCTGTCAGCTACCTAGACTTCTGTAATGACTTTGACATGGTCCCATACAACATTCTTACCATTAATTTGGAGAGAGATTGATTTGATGGATGGACTGTTCAAAGGATAACGAAGTGGCTGGATGGGATCCAGTTACAGTCAGTGGCTTGGCGTCCAAATGGGGATCGTCAACAAGTGGTGTCCCTTGGGGATCCCTACTGGGACCAGTACTGTTCAATATCTTTAATAATGACACGGACAGTGTCATTATTTCTGAGCCACCCCCAGAAATTCTGCAGATGACACCAGGCTAAGGGTGCACTTGATCCAGAAGGAGTGGGCCCATCCTCCCATGGAGGAGAGGGACTTGGGAGTACTGGTGGATGAAAAACTGGATGTGATCCAGCAATGTGCACTGACAGCTCAGAAATCCAACCATATCCTGGGCTGCATCTGAAGTGTGACCAGCAGGCCAAGGGAGGTGACTCTCCCACTCTACTCTGAGACCCCACCTGGAGGACAGCATTCAGCTCTGGACTCCCCAGCACAAAACATGGATTTCTTGGAGCAGGACCAGAGGAGGGCCACGAAAATGATCAGAAGGCTGGAACACTTTTCCTATGAAGAAAGACTGAGAGAGTTGGGTCTGTTCATCCAGGAGAAACACTTTTCCTATGAAGAAAGACTGAGAGAGTTGGGTCTGTTCATCCAGGAGACCTTATTGCAGCCTTTCAGTACTTAAAGGGGATCTTAAAAAAAAGGAGAGAGACTTTTTACCAGGCCCTGTAGTAACAGGACAAAGGGCAAAGATTTTAAACTAAGTGGGTAGATTTAGATTAAATAAAAGGAGGAAATTCTTTACTGTGAGTGGTAAGGCACTGGAAAAGGTTGCCTGGAGACAGCTGTGGATGCCCCATCACTGAAGTGTCCAGGGGTGGGTCGGATGGGGTTTTGAGCAACCTGGTCTAATGAAAAATGTCCCTGTCTGTGGCAGGGAGGTTGGACTAGATGATCCTGAAAGGTCTCTTTCGACCCAAACGATTCTGTGGTTTTGTGATTGTATGATCAGCTGATTTTTGTTCTTGGAAGAGCTAGGACTGAGCTGTACCGTGTCTTCTCCGATGCCTTTTCAAAAAGGAAACCTCTGGTTCCCATTTTACTCCCCAGCAAAGCTCACAGGCCAGGCTGGTCCGGGGCACAGCCAGATGAAAGCCCAAAGTGCTGTTTGCCTACACTGGGGGCTCCAGTTCTGAGTCACGCGATGACGTCCCACTGTTGATTCCCTCTGCAAACAAACAAGCAAATGAGAAAGCAAAGAAAGGAAGTGGAAAAGGAAACTCACCCATCTCATACCACAGATACCTTTGCTACTGCACTGTGCTGGGCAAGGGCCTGCATTCCGTCCTTCCTTCCTGCTTGAGTGCTGCATCCCCACATCCGTAGGGATGCCACACCATGGCAGGGAAGAGCCATGAAATGGACACTCAGGTCTTTATGTGCCCACACCCCAGACTTATGTTAGCACAGTTACTGGGGTGAGCAAGTAGGAACAAGAGGAAGTGGGATATTGAATCTCAGGTGCCATATCAAGGGGAGAAATGGATGACTGATTACAGGCTTGGAGAGATCCTAACAGTTTCATGGACAAAAAGAGGATGAATTGTGTTGATCCTGCAGCTGCCTCCTCTGGGCAATGCAACTTTTAGCCACTTCTGCAATGCAGGGACATATGTGTTCTTGTTAATTACTGCTAATTGAGGCAGGAGGTGATCTAAAGATGATTGCTTATGGACTGCCTTATGATTGGAGAACAGAGCTTTCAAAGGGCCTAAATGTTGTAGGAGCACATTTGCCACTGACACCCAAGAAAAACTGATGCTTTTAAGTCACTGAGCTGCTTCTGAAAATCCTGTTTGTGAATCTTTAGCAGCAGAGGGATGGTGGCAAGACCTGAAGGCCCTGCCATGCCCACTGCAACCATTCAGATTTTGAGATGATGAGAGGATCCCGTAGGCTGCAGACTGGTGGAGAATACTCAGAGCAGGCAGCCTGGCAGCACCCCCTCAGTGCTGGATACAGGTTGTTGCTTCTTGGGATCAAGATGACCATGTAGAGCAGAGGCAAGGATGATGGGAAGCTTGGCTAAGGAACGTTTACACATGCCAACATAGCAAAAAGTAAGTGTTTGTGCTGTAAGTGGTTGTGCCTCTGTCACTGGTGATTAATGTATTAATTCATAAATGAATCCAAACTGAACAAGGCCAGGTGCTGTCCTCTTGGGTGGGAAAGGTGGGACCTCGAAGGGAGATTCCTCTTTCTCTTAACTAACAGAAATTACTTTAATTTATAGTGTTAGCACTATGCTACCAATGCATTAATCCTCGTTGGCTTTTACAGGCAAGCTTTATCAGTGTGTATTTCTGGCAACACAATGAAGTCACCCTGATTTCGTGTTAAGCTTCTCGTGTCAATGGCAGTTTCATTTAAATAACCTAATAATATCCCCTAAAAACCCTACATATCAGCAAAAAGATTCCCCAGAGCTGCAGTCATCAGCAAAAATAAGACTTCCAGGGTTTGCCTTGCCCATGGGTGAGGGATGAAGCAGCTGGTATGCGTCAGCCTCTGCTGGGACACAGGCCTGTGTCAGCCTAAGGAGGGCCATGGCAAAGCTTTGGCAGTGCTGCTGGTACCTAAGGCAGTTCTTTTAGCTGTGGTGCCAATGCCTGTGGTTTTGGCAGCTCACATTAGAGAGGGAAAGAAAATCAACCCAGAAACAAAATTAACATTGCTTAAAATTGCCCAATTTGGAGCAGTCTCAGTCTGTTCCTGAAAAACTGCACCTCATGGAACAGACCCATGCTGGAACAGTTTGTGAACAACTGTAGCCTGTGAGAAGGACTCCTGCTGGAGAAGTTCATGGAAGACTGTCTCCCGTGGGAGGGACCCCACGCTGGAGCAGGGGAAGGACTCCTCTCCCTGAGGAGGAAGCAGCAGCAGAAACATGTGATGAACTGACCACAACCCCCATTCCCATCTCCCCGCAGCACTGGGGGGGAGGAGGGAGAGCCTGGGAAGGAGGGAGGTGTTTGTAAGACTTGCTTTACTTCTCATTAACCTGCTCTGATTTTGATTGGTGGTAAATTCAATTAATATCCCCAAGTGAAGTCTACTTGGCCCATAACGGCAATCAATGAGTGACATCTCCTCATCCTTATTTCAGCTCCTGAGCTTTCATTATATTTTCTCTCCCTTGTCTACCTGAGGAGGGGAGTGAGAGCAGCTTTGGTGGGCTCCTGGCATCTGCCAAGGTCACCCCACCACACCACAGGGCAGCTCTACTGACTTCTCACAGGTAAACTGTACATTTGCCTCCTGCATTTAACCTGAGACCCCCAATGAGAACTGTCAGGGAAAAGTGACAGCATAAAAGTGCCTTTCCAATCCAGGCTTAAATAACTAAAAAAAAGCAACAAATACAGTGCATCTGAACAAGCACCTTAATATCAATTTATGTAAGTATCAGGTGTTGAAGCATATGCTCTCTACATCACACAGGAAACCAGTCTTAGCAAAGCCTCCAAAACAACAGAACATTGTCCACCTCAGTGCCAACTTATTTACTTGTGATGCAATGGAGTGCAGGGTAAAACTGTTCCCACCAGGGAACTGACTCCACACCAGCATTGCCACATGGCCATGACAAAAGGCAGCCTGTCCCTGTTACTACTCACTCTACAATTTTTCCCTGGCTGCACGGAAGATGAGACTGACCATGGTTGCATCGGTTGTGAAACCACAGATTCTTGGAATGGCAGACAATTATTAATGCCCAC